CCCGCCTTTGACTAGTATTTTAGAAATTTTCAGTAAGTGTCTTTCTCCGCTTGTTATAACACATGAAGTTCCGGACAGAGGAGCCATCAGGTTCCTAGATTTAATGTTAACGTTGAGTTTTTCCCACGTGTGTTGGGCCTATGAGCCACACGCCAACAAGCCAATCCTCCCTTTTGGTTCAGTACATTCGAAAGTGGTGAAGCGCGCTATTGCTAAGACTTGCTACACAAACGCTTTGCGAAAGTCCTGCTATCACACAATTCTGTCCAGCTTTATAAGCAAACTAAACGCCTTACAGAAGCTGGTTTCCCGATGTACGTTTTGACCGCCGTTGCTGAGTGTCTACTCAGAGAAATCAGAACGAGCCCAGAAAATAATGCTCAGAACTGTACAAAGGATAAGGGACGTGGGAAACGAAACTTCGTCGCTATTCCCTATATCCACGGCGTCACCCACAATCTCAAAAAAGTAGCCAGCAGGTGCGACGTAGACCTGGTTCTTTCTGCCCCAGAAAAACTGGCTAGGTTGTGCAAAGCCGTGAATCCTGGTTCGAGGGGCGAGCGAGGCTGCAAAGTCAAGCATCGAAAGAAGTACGTTGCATGCATTGAAGGAGTGGTGTACTCACTACCCCTGTCTTGCGGCAAGTGGTACATCGGCCAAACAGGCAGGTGTTTATATGAGCGGCTGAAAGAGCACGCTCACAACGTCTCCTCTACAGTTTCGGGCCATCTCGGCATTCATTGCCGAGACTGCGGCTGTGTCCCTGATTTTCAGCTTTGTACCGTCATTAGGCGGCATCGGGACCAGTTGATACGTGAAATTTATGAGGCTTCAGAAATAGAAAGGCTGGGCAGTGCATGTGTCAGCAGGCCTTCGATTGCGCTATCATTAAAAGAAATAGATTTCCTTCGGCACGTTAGCACACGTGCTGCTCATGGTGCGTTGTGAAGATGACTATGTGGCTGTTAGGTGGATTCTGTTTTGTTTGTTTTGTATTTTCTTTTTTTTGTTAGATACTGCCCAAGTATATATTGTGCGGTTCTGGCAAATAAATCTTGTTGTAAGTTCAGTGCCGCTGTCTGTCTCCTTCTTTTTCTTGTCTCTCGTTATTGGCGCTGTTTTTTATGTGAATCATGTCTATAATGGTCCTAACTTGCCAGATATCGCGAAAAAAATGCAGAATATTTTTTTTTGTGTGGAAACGCTGGAGTCTAGAGGTGTGCAAATATTTGATTTCGCATTCGAATCGAATAATACGCGATGGCGAGATCGTGGGAAAGTTATCTTACCTCTAGACAATGTAAAGCCAGTCCTATTCACAAACTTCGATGCCCAGGCACAGCTGGTTTCAGAGTGTCTCCTCAGTATTTCCGCGTTTGCCCGGGTCGTCGACTATTCATCTCATGTGATGTAGCCACGTGCATGCACTCGAAGCGGAATTGTCGCTATCGCCGTCATGTTCCGCATAGCCTAAATCGATCGCATGACTATAGTGCCTAGAAAGTATATTTTTAGACACTGTAGCATCACCTCATGGGTCGAATTCTGCTGTCTGGCACGGCTCAAGCTGAGATGAAGCGTGCTGGTAAGACAAAACGGTGCCTGCGGGAGGCGGGGCATGTTTTGTTTGGGTAGGAACTGCAAACTTTTATCAAATGGGCGCGGTCGGGCGCACTATCTTCAGACATAACTACACAGCTCTGACTAGTGTTGCGTTTTAAGCTCAATCTGTCTGGCGTGACTCAAACTGACATGAAGCGCGCCGGTAAGACAAAACGGTGCCTGCAGAAGAGGCGGGGCTGTTTCAATTGGGTAGGAACTGCAAAACATCAGTAGACAGCTCTGACTAGTGTTAGTTTTGAGCTCACTGCTTACTTCGCGTTGCGACGTCAGACAACACAAACCACTACACCGTTTCATGTTTTTTCGTCCGGCTTGCACGCTCCATATCCGCTTGAGTCACAATAGACCGCAGCCATTGCGAGCTTTCGCTCGCTCTTAGAACACACGACCCCAGCGCAGATGCTACTGACTTGACTTTATGCGGAACGTGACGGCGACAATTTGCTTCCAGTGCGTGTGTGTGTGTGGTGGCTGAAGCGCCCGTATTGCCTTTAGCAAGAGTTTTGCAAAATTACGCGAGATAAAATTTTGCAAAGGTTCGCAGCTGTCCTGGGCTAATTCGCAAACAATTACAATTTGTTGCTATCATATTCACTGTTTCGGTGAAAGAACCGATTCTTAAAATGACAGGGACTTGGTGATCTAACTACGACCGCAATGGCAATATCACAAAAATAAAAGCTGCTCTTAATCTCCTTCCCTAGCAATCCGTGGAAAGCAATCACGCATTTGTATTTTTCACAAAATTTACTACCACAACCCCTCTCTTCGTTTTTTGTTGATATCCCCAGCACCATTCCGCTCACTCCGAGTTGATCATCATAAGGTTACCATACTATATTTTTCAAGTACTGCACGCTCGCAATCATTTTTTCCCAGTACAGCAGGCGATTGGAATCACTTACCAGCCTTCGTAACTGATATAACTGATACAACTGCATTTAAAAATGTCTTATCAAGCCTTCTGTAGTGCTACATGTTGTTTCTTTTTCATATTGTACTTTACAAGACTTTAGTTTTTGTATTATTTGTAATTATGCTGTATAATGCTTCCAGTCTCACTTGCATACTACTATTTTTCATGCTTTTGTTTACTATGTACAACCCCCTCCCCCTCTATAATGTATTTATACCATGAGTGTACTATAAATAATTAAATGTATAAATAAATAATAAATAATAAATAGGGACTGCTCACAAGGAGTTAGCACCCTCTCTTTTCCAAACAATAATTCAGGTGTACGATTTAATCTTCTGGCTTTCTGGGCAGGGATGGAATGCACACTTTTGGCAAATCAGTTTGGTACACTTAAAGTAGCGATAGCGATGAAAACACTGACCAAGGAAGAGGCTGGAGAAAATTTTATTGGCACAGTGGAGGGAACCCTTAAAACGAAAGAGCGACGCTTTTTGAAAGCGATGGCGTGAAACTCGCAGCTATACTGCATATACCATGTAGCTTTGCCAGTCGCCACAGTGAAAAGGTCATCGCAGTAAAAACGCGCACGTTTTTTTCTTCATATTTTTGTTGTGAGCTGTCATCGTGGCTTTTCATCCCTGGTTAATTTCAATCTTAAAATAACTGTGTTCGAGTATGTTTAAAAAGGCATTCCAGCTTTTTTTGCGTTTGTTTCCTTAATTTAATTTTATTCCTGCATTTAAATTAGGAAGATTTATCTTTTGTGCACTTCGCATAACCTCGTGAAATTAATATCTTTCTTTCTCGTCTATGCAGTGCCAGTGAATGCGAGGTCTCTGCAGACAAGTGTACTCGGTGTCAAATAGACTACGACTGGGGACTGGGACAAGCGAAGTTACTCCACGGTACGACCTGCTTGTGCAAATGCAGTAGAACTTACAATTGGGCGAGTTGTTCAGAAGTAATAACTATGATACAATACCACATAGTAAGGCACAAACACCGAGTAACATACGAAACACAAAAACAAGGCACTAGTGCTTTATGCATCCTTCAATGATTTTGTCTTATTTTTTAGCATTGTTTCACAATTATGAATGGCTAGTTCGATTGAAGTGACTGCCTGTGCGGTGCCTTCGGTTTTACATTGAAGTACCTCACAGCAATGCCACTATACCACACTAAGTAAGAAAATATCCTACCGTCATTATGTGCACACAGCTTTTTTGAGTCGACTAGGCCTTTGTTAGCAACTATGATCATGTTTTTTTAATTTCTTGAGGACATAGGCGTGCGTAGGGTTTCCTTTGGGAGGGGGGGGGGGGAAGAGAATGTTTGTTGCAGTGCCCCACTGCTTATTATGTCAATATATGAGGCTAACTTTGCATCCCTCCAACGAAATCGCAGCACTCCCTCCTCCCTATTATGTCAATATGGAGGGCTTGCACCCTCCCTATTGGGTGACAAAAGGGGCAGCCGCCACCCTGCCCTCCTCTTGTGCACATGCCAACGTCTGAAAGCTTGGCCTTTCAGTATGCAAAGAGCAGCTCTCATGGCTGTAAGGTTTAAAAGTTCTGTGCAGACCACAACAGTTCAGTATTTCTATACTTGCCACACGGTACATTGCTACAATGAGAATTTAAAACTACGTACACTGCATCGTCACTGATGACATAAGCGCGGCACTTGTTGCGAGCAAAATCTATATACAATGACATGACATCACAATTACTGCAAGTGAGTGGGAGAAATCGCGCATTCCTTACCGAATATCATGCGCACTGCGTGCATGTGAATGGAGACAACGCGGTGTAAGAAGACGAACACAGCAGCGATGGGATATAGGGGGCGGGGTTACAAAGTTGTCTCCTCAGGGTGTGTATAAACCCTGATGTATCGCATCACTCAATGCGATATGCCGATGGACGACCTGAGCCATGTGTCATAATGGCAGATGTGGAATGCAAATCACTTACAACTAAAACTCAAATCGAATCCAAAAGTTATTTTCATTTACAAGTGCTCACTTCCACAGGCCAAATTTCTAAGCTACTTGTGTGTTCGGCACCACGAATGGTCCGAATTTCAGAGTAGTGGCACCACTATTTTCAACACAAACCCAGGAAACGATAGTGTGCATGCATTTGACTTTGAAGCTCAGTCAACGGTAATAATGTTGCCTTCCTCACACGTGCGTTGTGAAGGCAACGGACATGTGTGCAGTGTCGGTTTGTCCTCTCCCACTCATCCCTCTCCGCTGATCGGCGAGAGCTGCAAGTTGGCAAGTGCGCATGCATCGAGAACATTCCGGCTATCACTTGTCTTTGCCCGCCCTCCGCCACCGTTACGAGAGAAATGTGGAAGGTGTGCCACTGCTTGCCATGCGGAACATCACCGCGGCGTGCTTTCCACAGTGCCTGTTGCTATTGCTCAACAGGTCTAATTCAATTTAACTACGTTTAACCACATTCAACCACAACATTTTATTTCAACAGCCAGGAATGAGATCAAACTGAAGTTTGAAAAATGGAGCTCCGGTACCAGAGAACAGAGTACAAGAATGCCGCATCTCATGATTTGATGAACAATGTGACCTTTATTACATGTTTCAAGGGGTACTAACACGAATTTTCTGAGGCCAAGTTTACCCTGCAATACCGATACCTTATACACAGCGGTGGCTCTGTGCAAATAAGAAGCTCAAAAAAACACTAAGATGTTTCATTTTGACATTAAAGCCTTTTTTTTTGCACGATGCACTTCATGTACATCGCCACTATCGTGACGTCAGGCTATCCTGATGCCTTCATCAGTATGGCTAGTCGTGATAACATCAGGGGCGAAACGTTTAAAACGTCCGCTTGCGTATCCGTAAAAACGTTCACAATAACTGCTTTTGCACAATAACAGAGTCGTGGAGCAGAGCGGCCATGGTAACGTCACACATTGTGCAACCCCGCGATAAAGAGCTCGTACTGTATCGCGACGTCGGACTACAGTAGAAACCAAAACTAGCTTTCAAAGATACAACTATATTTTTATGGCGCATTCATGCTTACCAGTGCATTTTCTAATCTTTTGAAGGCATGGCCTTTTACTTTATGTGAAAAATGAAGAACTAAATATTTTTGTGTCGGTACACCCTATGAGGACTACCGTCCCCTCTCCTTGATATCTTGTATAGCACACGGTGGTCTTCAGACAGCCGGAGGTTTCTGCATAAATTTATCAGTGTCGGCATGTATCGGTACAACCACAACCACAAAGCAAGAGAAAATCAGAAACCCAAATAAACTCTTTAGGTATTCACTGCTCCCAAATACATACATCTCAATGAAATTCCCCACTTTGCAATATATTAAATCACTCTGAAACCTCATTTATTCGTTCTACGAGTAGGAGGAGGAGGTAAGTTTATTTACAGAAAGGAGAGAGGTCTCTTCTTGAAGCATTGTATTGCACTGCCTTCACGAAACACATTTCCATTTTTTTTTTCTTTCCGTGCAGTAAACATGTGAACCTTTGTATCTTCCTTATCTTGTGTTCTACATGACCTGAAACAAACGGCATGACAAGTACTGTTTCAACCACGTGTTTTGTGCGTATGTAATTGTAAACAGCTATGTCATGCTACAGCTACCATATTTATACTACTAATACATAAGACAATTCACTATAACATCTTTCTTTGTGTAAATAGTAATGCAAACTCCCTGTTTACTCAACCCTGTAGGTCTAACAATGTACCTGAATGATATGAGGCACAAGTCACGTGACACTTCCATGTGCACACTGCTGCACATGCTATCCTTTCAGGAAAGTTGAGTCCATTTTATGAGTATGTGACCATAAACTACCAATATGTCATAACATAACTATAGCTACCATAGTCAGCTTGTTCATAGTACATTTTCAACATATTTTTGATCATGTAAATGCTACCAACTACACGAGGTGTTACAGCTAACTTGCACCCAGTATACTTTTCAATCAAGGGCACTCTAAAATAAAGCTGAAAAAAAAAAAAAACTATCTGCTGGTTATTTTAGTGCAGATCATCCAATACTTCTAAAGAAACTTTACAACTTTTCTGTTGAATATTTTTTATTAGAACTACTATTTAAAAGCTTAATTAGGCAGTATTTGTTGTTCAAACAGTTAATAAGATTGGCAATTACCTAAGCATGAGTGAAATACTGTTTTAGAACGAGTAGTACAATTATTGCACTAAAGAACTCCCCCTGAGTTTATTAGTTAAAATGTTATTATGCAATCTTCATAAATAACCAACTGGAAGATTGGAAAAAATATTCTGGCACTCTGGGTATCGCCCAGAACAGTACTGAACCGATAGGACACACACGCAAGGCATGCATGTTTTTGTAACACTAGGTGCCAGTTAGCTGAAACACTCGACGTCAACATTGGTTAAATAGTACTTCTCCATACTACAAACCCCTGTCTAATGTCACCGTAAGCAGTGCAACGACACAGGAAAACAGAAAGGAAATGACAAACACAGGCACAATTAGCCACACCAAATTCCGCCTGTGCTCGCCTTTCCTTTTCTGTCATGCTGTTTCATCAAGCTACTAACGGCGATAGTATGTATTGACCTTACACAAACATTCTAACCGGCCTACTTAACTGTCAAGGTCAGCCCATGTACATATCTATATGCTGTTCTACTTGTAAAAGCTTGGTGTGTGACTCCAAAGTGTGTTGTTGCCTCATCTGTTGGTTCGTGTCTTTTTGCAGCTGCGTGGGCGACTGGGCTATGCTACGGTGGTTCCTGATTATGTGACCATAAGCAACTAATGCATCATACTACGTATTACTACCAGGTTTAGGTTGCTTATATATAGCACATTTCTTCAATCACATTTTGCTTTAGTAAATACTGCAGGGAGTCTGGCAATGTGCCTGAACGATTTGAGACAAGATTTGAGACAACAGTCATGTAAGACAACTGCATCTGCACGCTACTGCATACACTGTTCTTGGAAATTCGGGTGAGTGACTCCAAAATGCATTGTTGCCTCGCGTGTTTTTCACAGCCGTTTGGGCAACCGGGCCATGCCAGGCGGCGCACTGCTGCTCGAACCTCGGCAAGCCCTGGCCCTGGGAAGGGGCCGAACTCTTGCTTCCCCTGGTGCTGTCCAACGGCCTGTCCTGGGCGGCCCTCGTGCGCACGGGCACCTCCCCATGTGCCTGAGCGGTTCTTGCGCTCGGGCTTTTCACATAGCCAATCTGAGGCCACCGTCGACGGGCAGCACCTGCCCTGTTACATAGCTGCTGCTTGCCAAAAAATGCACCGCACGCGCCACTTCCTCGGGGCGGCCCGGCCGCTGCAAGGGGATGCGGCCCACCACTGCTTGCAAGTGTTCCGCGCGAGTCATGCCAGTGTCTATGAAACCTGTGAAACAAAAGAAAAAAAGATTGTCACAAGTGTTTTTTTTGGTTGCAAATGCATAAAAAATGTGAAAAAATATATAAAAGCAGCGAAAGCCACTGAGCCGTCTGTGTTGAGTTTCATTTCATTTAAGGTTGACATCCACTCTTTATGTTTCCCATGGCTTATGAAGCTGTTGAAAAAATCCAGCGCTTAGAAGAAACAGATGCCTTCTTACTGTAAAGCACTTCTTGGGCTGATTGGTATATGTGTTAGGCAAAGGTGGGAAAGTTTTTGCGCTGTATAGCTGATACATAAAAACACTTGAAGCACAAAGAACTCTACGAGTGAGCACAATGTCATAAGTGCTGAATTTTGTGCGGGGTGCCATCTGAGGAAGTGCTAAAAAAGGAAGGGGATCAATGGAAAAAGTAGAAACTTATAAAGAATGAAGAGCATAAATTTTCATTAGGGGTGCACGAGTATTCGAAAGTTTCGAATATTTGTTGAATATTGCATTGTAATATTCTTATTCAATTCGATAACCACATATTCGAAAATTTCAAATAGTCGAACTAACTCAAATATTCGATGTTCACGAATATTCGTTAACATATGTCACTGTGAACATCTTGGGATTTTGCGCATTTGTAGTAAAAGCCTCAGTAGATCATGCAGTGATAACTACGACTTCAGCGCGTGTGCGGTGATGCCTGCATAGAAACTCACAGAAGTGTAATGACGGTTACCGGCGAATGTGGCGGCACATCATCGCGACAAGCCTACCAAACATAAACATCTCAATCTAAATGATGTACTGGCTGCACGACAGTAGGTGTGGCTTAGTGGCTTAGCACATTCCCTCCGCTGCTGCGCTCATGTGCACGAGCTGCAAGTGCGTATCGCTCCTGAAAAAAAAAGGCAACTCGCCGCTGCCGCACTGGCTCGACAAAATAGTCTTCACACTTTTGCTGGGTCCCGTGCTGCGAGCACGAAGAGAAAAAAAGCCAGTTTTGCTACAAGGGTGCAGCAATGAATGCGACAGCAACAATTACATAACTTGGAATGTAAAGCTGAGAACGGCTAGTAGATCGGAACGTGTAGCGCCCTACTCACAAATGACGCACACTAACAACACTCACAGGACGAGAACTAACAAAGTTACAACTCGATGCTAATGAGCTGTGTAAATAAAAATGACGCACGAAACGTAATCACAGGTACAGATATGCGTGTGAACTAACGAGTGTCCCTGTTGTTACTTCGCTGTATTTGAAAAGCGCACTCTTTTCGCAAACGGAACCTTTTCACAAGCGAAGTGATCTGTGTGACCCAGGCCACTAACGCAATCATTCCGGTCAAAGGCCTAGGCACACGATTCTCCCCACCGAAGGATAAGAGCACGCGCACAGGCATCAACCAGCCCACCCCCATGCTCGGGGCAAAGTACGCTTGGGAGATAAGAGCGCGTTGGCACATCGTGACGAGCTGGGCGCTGAACGCAGGCGGCTTTTTTTTTCTAAGTTTTCATACATATAGATACTTATACATGCACGCTGCATGATGGCGGAGGCGAAAACCAGCCGAGACTGCCCATACAATTGAATAAAAATATCTCCATGCAAGGATGAACTTAGTAGGCAATGCACGCAACTGGCTAGGGCGCGCTCAGCTTCATGTACGATGGTAACGCGTTACATGTATATCCACGGCAGTTTTCGCTAATGGATCACCGTACAAATGTACGCGCACATGTCAAAGCCTGCCGAGTCATCCGTCAGCTGTGCCGCTACTCTTCATAGTTGCGGACTGATTTTAAGGTAGCGGATATAATCATGCGAATGAGCAGAAGTGTTTTTCCACGCAATGGCACACATAGAAAAAGGCCATGCACAAAAAGTGACGAACGGACGGCGCCTTTGAAAATCTGTCGTACGTGCATTGCGCCCGCGCGGCAACCTCTTTTGCAATCAACCCTCTGTTGCAGCATTGCTGTGATCTCGCTCTTTTGCCAACGTCAGTTTACTGCCGTCGGCAGCCAGTATGCCGAAGGAAGGGGGTTGCGATGCGGCAAAATAGTGCCCTAGCCACCAAGAGTTGTGGCTCCCTTAATTAAAGGGTCCGTAAACCACCCAGAGGTCAAAATTCAGTTGTGGTGGGGAAACTGTGCACGAGTTTACGGTGAACACGGAGCCGTGAGAGTTTCTCGAAACAGCGCCGTAATAGGGGAGTTAGACGCATTTGATATTCAGAACCGCAATGACCACACAATTCGCTTTCTCCTGTGCTTTCCTCTGCTGGTATCCTCTCGCACGCTGCTTTTCCCTCTCGTCATGCGCCCCTCGGATGCCACTCCCAATCTCGCGTGGCCTACGTCATCGCGACGCGCTGCTTGAAATGCCATCTACTTCCGGTTGCCCCGATTCCAGCTGTCGACTTCGTCAGTTGCGTGCTTTTTGGCAAACCGCGGCTGACGTAATCGTGCCGGTATGGAACCGGCATTGCGTGCAAGCCTTTAAAGGATTGCCAACGCGATGGACTCGTACGGGGACACGCCGTGCCACGTGCTTGTTACACGCACGCAGCAACAAGCACTGCGGGAAGCTGCTTGCCGACTGACCGGAAGTCGTTGGCTCTTGCTCGACCAGTCACACCATATTTGGCATATTTGCCTCGGCACGTCAGAGATGTGGCACGGCGCGTCATGCAGAGGCTGGAAAGGCCAGGAAAGGAGGGGGCATTTTTTCTTGGAGTTTGTGGCGTGCCGGCGGCTAGTAGAGCTGCCACGTGCAGAATCGTTGATCGTGACAGCATTCTGCACACGATGTGCGCATTTACTGCTAAAAAAAAATATCGTAGGTGGTTTACCGGCCCTTCAACGAAAAGGCGTATTTGGGGCGTCTTTCTATCGCACATCAGTAACCATCTATCTCACGCGCTTACGTCGCGTTATTGATGCGCGCCCGGTACAGCTCAGTCACTATTGTGCACTATCATGCTGCTATCAGCACAACACAGCATTCTTGATCAGGAAAATGGCGAGTGCGTAGTCCTTGGGAAAGTTTACCGAAGCAAGCGAGATAACGAGTATTGCTGTGTAGTTAAAAAATGCTCAAAGTACTCCTATTTCCCTTAGTAGCTTGACCCGTGAGAACAGGGGAGAAAATTAAAAAACCACAAAATAAAAAACTATAAAGTTAGTGTCTTTTGAACCAAAATTGATAGTGTGGGAACCTGAATGAATTGTGACCATTCAGGCTGCTTTAATAATCGCTTAGACTTAAGTACACTGCCTAACTTTACACAATCAAACCAGTGGCCTCATGCTCACTTGTCATCAAGGCAGGTATGAAAGCTTTTCTCTTTTTTTTTGTAAAAATAAGGATACAGAAGGTTTGTTCAACATGTGGGTTAAACCCAAGACAGTCTTATGCTTTCTGGCGAGTACAGATGGTGACATATTTTTATTTTTGGTGTGCAATAACCTACTATAATAACAATTGTTTTGTTTCAAACATAAATATGAGATTGACTAAAAGATTACTGGTGGAAAAAACTTGCACCTCTTCATTATTCTATATTCACATATTCGATTCGTATTCGAAGCTATGTATTCGCATTCGAAAATTTGATATTTGCACCCCCCCCTGATTGTCATGCAGGGTTATTTGAAGAATTCAGCACAAACATAAGCACTAAAACTTTATCACCAAGCAAGAACGGTGGTAGTGCTAGCTCGTTTTGCAGAAATTCCGGCATCGGTGTCGGCGTTGTTGCTTGCGAGCGAAAAATCTTGTCAATCACTGAATGATGGAGAAAGATGCAAATAAAATAAATAAATAAAATTCTAGTTTGAGTGGGGACAGAAGAACCCAGGTTGCTTGCATGGCAAGCGGGTGTTCTACCATACAGTGATGTGTCTGCTTGTTAAAAACAACTTTCTCTGCTTAGAAATGCAGTGAAAGTAACTTTCATGCTTTACAAACACAGGCGTCCTGTATACATGCTTCACAATACAATATTAAATATTGCAGTTATAATGCGTGGTACAAGCATACATTGCCATCAGCAGTTTGAACATGTGATCATCACAATGGCTTCATGGTTTAAAGCCGGTCGCCCACTACAAAAGGCACGCACGTTATTGCGCCTATTTCCTTAAGGCCACATAGTGGGTGCATAGCAGGTTCGAAAAGATTTCATGTTTGAAGCACGCACTAGAGATAGAATATCCCTATCGCGTTCCACTCTTCAAGGTGAAGCTTAAGGGTCTCCCAATTTTCAAATGACACATTCCGGCCCTTGTGCAAAAGGTGTGCACTGAGGAACTCTACAAAACATTGGCATAAAGGACATACGATCATTCCACGGATTGAATCTGTTTTCATGCTGATTTTTCCCTTTAATACTGCAAAGTAACTGGCAAAGAGCACGTACATGGCAGTTCACTGTTAAAGGAAGCATCGGAGCGCATGGCTGCCACTCGGCACCACTACCAGCCGACAGCTGCAACAAGTTTAAACAGGTACATTGAGCACGGTTCGTCGGACTCTTTAGCCGGCATCATTTTAGCATAAATGATTTACTTTGCAATGGCTGGAAGCGCTGCACGAGACGATAGCGGATGACAATAGAGCCCCACTTGTGGCACGCACTCCTGCTGCACAAAACTCGTTGCAGCCGCCAGCCAGGGGTGGTGCAGAGCAGTCTACTCTTTCCTGTAGAGGTAGCTACTGCACCCTTTTCATCGAAGCTTGATCACATCCCCTTGAATCATGTGCACGGCCAGAGCATTTTCCCTTTTCTAGAGATTGCACGACATGCTGGGAGATTCGATCGATTCAGATTTTGTATGGTACACAATGGAGGTGACAGGAGACTGGATTGTAGGCAAATGCCTGTTTTCTTTTTTGTTTTTTATTGTGCCTCTCTGATATATGAGCATGAATTAGAGGTAAAAAAGGGCTTTTATTGTGTTTCTACAGTGCCTATAAATGTGTATTTCTGACGATCGTGCCTCACTTTCTTTAAGTGCCTATAAATGCTTACTTTCAAAATTGATGCCTATATCAGCGCTATTGAACCTCGAATTTTGCTTTCGACTACAGTTGGAGACGAGTATTCATGTTACTGAGCAAGATTGAGCTTTCAGAACTTCTGGGGTGCAACCTACAATCTATCTCACAAGTTCCTTTCAGCACTGTCAAGGGTACGAGGTCTCTTAGCCAATAGAAAGGCCGATTAGCCTCTACACATGTATTCATCCGCATCGCGTTGTCTGCCCAACATCTCCCACCGTTTGCTCGCAAGCGAAACAGGAGGTGCTTCTGTGCAGCCACAGGATGATGAAGATAGAGTGTGAAAACGTGGAGGGCTATGAAGGAAAACTAGACTGGAGATCAAAAAAAAAAAAAAAAATTCTCATGGTCGTTGTTTTGTGTCACTTACTTCTTAAACAGCACTTCCCTAGGTTACATGAGAAATTTTACATATACAATGGGAGTTGTTGCATGCCCAATTTTCGTACCACTCTAATTATTTAATTGGTTCATTACAAGTCTCAAAAGCATGATGCGAGGAGGTGAGCTTAAACCCTTTGCCACTGACTTGTAGCTGAACCGATGGTGCTCTACGTGCGAAATTTTACTGAACTTTTGCAAATATATAAAAGATTATTACAGTATTTGAATTTGCTTTGTATCGAATTCAAATTATTGAAAATTTTGAAGTATTCGAAATGAAAGAATACGTGTATATTAGTCCATATGTAACCGCCTGTAAAAGTTGTTTCACAGCAGTGGAGGGTGCTGAGCCGTGAAAACACCTATCCAAATATCCACATGTAGCCCCCCTGTAAAGGCAGGTTCACTGCAGTTGAAGAGTGCCAGATCGTGAAAACACCTATCAAAAAAAAAAAAAAAAACTGCACCATCATAGGAACTCATTTTATAGTATAATTAACACATTACTCTCACATCAATTAATCATTTTTAAAGCAAAGCTGTCATGAGCTCACAACAAGGGTCACTTTTGGCACCTTAGTTGTCTGCTGCCGCTGCTGGTTCTTGTAACCACTATTGCTCAAAAAAAAAAAAAAAACACACACACACACACGATATCTGAAAGAAAAATTTAGGATGAATTGAAGTTTTGTGTTCTACCACAGAGCCATGCTGGTTCTTGAAACTGCGTTGCAAAAAGACCCTATAAAGGCTTCATGTCGGGAAGGAACTGCGTTAACATGTGTAATATTATAGCTTGGTAGAAGAGTACAAACAACCAGGCGTCACACAATACGAGTTGCGCAACAATCGGGTCGTTGAATGCTTCACACCCATTACAAAGGGCTCAGCAAAATTTTTCATCGACAGCAGCCACTGCATTAACAAGGCGCGCATAATGCCTAGCAACTGCGTAGCGGGTACCTCGCTTCTCCACAGAATCATAGATAACAGTGAAATTAACAAAAATTGTGACTTATGGCTTAGTGCAGTGGTTCTCAGCCACGGATGTGGCGGGGACCCCTTGTGAACTGATGAAAGTGGTGGGAAACCCCTTGCATAGGAGGGGAGGGAGGGGGGGCGGTACGTAGGTGAATTAACACAACTGGAGCGTGAAACAGGGGCCTTTTATTGCTACCAAAAACATCCAACAAACGTGCCACATCACTTCATTGAAGACAGTTCATCAATACGTGGCACAGTCAGGCTTTAAAAAAATGCGGGTGAGAATTTTGCGGATCACAGAAATGGCTTGGTGGACCCCCATTTGAGAACCACTGGCTTAGTGGATACCGTGCAGGCACATATGTATTGCTAACCCCAAGACAGTTTAGAAATGTTTCTAGAAATGACGGTCTTCCAGCTTTTGCTGTGACAGTGCTGCTCTTTCTACACATGCCTGACAATTTTTTTCTTTTGTTATCTCCATAAATTCCTCTTTTTCTTTCTTGAGTTTAAAAGCTTGCAATACTGGCTTATAAGTTCTAAGCATAGTAAACTTTAAAATGTAACATATCTTACAGCTTATCACTTGGATTCTACTGAATGTCGGAACCTGCTACTACTCATTGAAAGTTGTATGCAGTTTCTCTGAGCCCCTCCGCTGTGGTCTAGTGGCTAAGGTACTCGGCTGCTGACCCGCAGGGCGCGGGTTCGAATCCCGGCTGCGGCGGCTGCATTTCCGATGGAGGCGGAAATGTTGTAGGCCCGTGTACTCAGATTTGGGTGCACGTTAAAGAACCCCAGGTGGTCTAAATTTCCGGAGCCCTCCACTACGGCGTCTCCCATAATCATATAGTGGTTTTGGGACGTTAAACCCCACACATCAATCAATCTATCAATACAGTTTCTCTGAATGAAAAAGAATCACATTTGCCCTTGCCTTTCTTTAAATCTTACATGTGACCTGGCTGCTGCAACTTTGCCTTTGAGGGTAGTAAAAAGGCGCACCTTTAGAGCTTAACCCTATTTTTCTGACAACTGTGCAGTCCCTGGGGAGTTGTAAAAACTCTGAACTCATTTCATACAACGGGCTCAGTGCTTGCTAAATAAAAATGTAATTACACTCAAACCACATTATAACAAAGTTGCATCTTACATGAAAATAAGTTCGCTAAATCCCAAATTTTGTTATAAAGGTCACTCCTAACACTGTATATACTGCAATACTATTTTTCATTTACTTCGTTATAACCTATATTTTGTTATATCCATTTTGTTATATAAAGATCTGAATGTACATTTACATCTCATCATAACAATGTTGCATCTTCCACAAAAATACATTTTTTGCATCCGAAAATTCGTTATGGAGATATATTCAGGATCCTATATCTATCACAAGACTATTCTTCATTGACTGTGTTATAACTGACATTTTGTTATAACCTAGTTCATTATAATGAGGTTTGAGTGCACTGCTACTGTACTTCAATCAGTCATACATCATTACAGCAGACCCTCAGCAAATGAAAATCTTTTAAATAGAATCGGTGCTTAAAACAAAACAACTGCCTCTATTATGATTGATTTTGTACTAGGATTCTGCATCCCTGTTCATCTCTCAGTTTACTCCAGTTGATCTCCTGTAAAATGGAACATTATCAGGGGCTTTTCAGGTTCTGTTTAACATAAGGCGACTGTATGTCAAAAATTTGTCCTTATTCACTACAACTGAAATTTAACTGTTATAAGAAAGAGTTGGTGGCATAAATTTCAAATTTGCTTCTTCTAAACATGAAAACTTCTACTGTACAAAAAAATGGGCAAATAAACAAAAATGCTGTCTTCATTGGGATAACATACTTTACTGCAACAAAACCACATGTTAAATTCTGCAGTGACATTGTACAGGAGAGCATTATCATATTCCTCACGGCAGGCAATGTGATCAGGGTGAAAGAGTGTGACAGGTCGTTTCAGTCTTTGACAAACAACATTTTTATCGCACAGTGGTTGGAGAGCGGAGCTAGACTTAGTAGACTTCGTGGAAAAGAAAAGTCACATCCCATTGTGAGTACCAATGGGAAGGGTAGAACAACTGTCACAAGCACATGGTAGGGTACTTCTCTGAACGACACCTCATGCCAGTTCTACTATCTTGAAGGGACACATTGGAGATAAACAGTAGATCAGTTTAGACTAACATCTTTTAGAAAATCTACTTGCAATAGGTTGAAGAGAAAGGCAGATATTTTAAAAGTAAACTGAATGTAGGAAGTCCTCTTTATTTGAATTGTGCCCTCAAACTACTGTATTACCAGTGAATTAGTGCAATGTTCCCGATTTCAGCTATAATTTTTAACCTGTTAAAACTGAGCGGGCGTCGTGAGAGTTCCCGACTACTCTCTGTATTGAAAATTTGGACTCGTTGAAACACAACACAGATCATTTTTATAAACAAACAATTAACCAGGTTCTTGTAGGAGCCATCAAGTTAATACAGTAAAAGCTCGTTAATTTAGATTTCACGGGACCGGAAAAACTGTCCGAATTAACCGACTGCCGAATAACGAATGAACAGAGAAAACAACATTTAAAATCAAGCTGCAGAAGCATACCTTTATTTGTTGAAGTATTTTGTAATTGTCGTCTGCGTTTTCGCGCAGATTCCGGCTGACATCACAATTTTTCTTGACTGTTCCAAATGGCCAACAGCACGCAAGCTGCCGCTACAGTGATGGCATGCAAATACGGTCACAATGGAAGAAAAAGAGAACTCCGCAAGAAGAGATGATGGTTCCGACACGACATCACAAGGGATAATGGCGTCGGAGGCGCTGAGTGGAGAAGAAAGAAGACGCCGACGTTCGGTGACGCTGCGATCGCCCCCACTAGTTGATGATGAAGGCGATGCCACTCAGGTTTCGGTTTCACTCCAGTGGTGCCAGCGCTGCTTTATCACACTTTTGTGTAGCAGCAGCCGTCAGCGTTTGTCCGAATTAAGCGGTGCGGAGCCGAATTCTGACGAAATAACGAAGGTTTGGTCCCACAGATTGATATGCACTTTGGCCGGGATCAATAGAGCCGTCCGAATTATCCGAATTAACGGCTGTCGTATTAATGAGCTTTTACTGCACCAGCGAGCAGGTGTGGGCACATCAAGGCAGCATTGCCCCTATATTTCTTACCGGTCCCTTTAATAATTTACAAAGTGTCTTCTTGCAGTAAAAGTGGTGTTCTTGGGATTTTTATAAACCGGCGCTATTTTACCCATGAAAGAGAATAGTCTTTCTTTTTATTTTTCCTCTGTGCAAGGGTGACTTGCCTCAGTTCTGTGATATGGAGACTCAATCGCTCCCTTACACACAGCTTCACTTGGCACCCACAATCCACTAGGTGTCACTGACAGCATGAATTAGCTGCTGGGATTTGACGAAGATTTGGAAAGTTTTCCCATTGTGAGCGCCAGAAGAGGATATACGCACCGGGCTGAATCATGTTGACCCTGATGTTGCGAGAGGCAACCTCTTTGGCAAGAGAGCGGGTCAGGCCCACCATGGCAGCCTTGCTGGCAGAGTAGACAGTTTGGCCAACATTGCCTCGTTCACCAACAACACTGCCCACATTGACAATAGGAACCCTGGAATAAAATAGAGCAACAATGCAAGGATCGAGCTTCTTGATGTGTGTAAAAGCAACTTCTTTCATTTGCCAACATCAACACTACAGGGACTAATATGCAAAGCACAACTGTGCGATGCATGTTGTATCAAAAGTTGATTCCAGGGTCTAATTTCAGATTAATCAGAGAATATGCTTAGCACTACAGTAAAGAAAAGATTAATGGTTGCACTTACAGATCAATCTTGGCTTTGAAAGAGGTTCCAAAGATTTATTAGGCAATAATAGCCACTTTTATTTTCTAGACGACACACCCAAGACACTAGCTGGACCATTAAGGCAAACTACGGTACTGACTGATTGATATGTGGGATTTAACATTCCTAACCCACATGATGATTATGAGAGACACCATAGCGGAGGGCTCTGAAAATTTTGACCAGTTTGGTGTTCTTTAACGTGCACTCAAGTTCGAGCACACGAGCCTACAGCATTATTGCCTGCATCAAAAATGCAGCCACCATAGCCGAGATTGGATTCCCTGACCTGCAAGTCAGCAGCCGAGTACCTTAGCTACTAGACCATCGTGGCGGGCTTAGAGGCAGACTATGGGCACTCATCCACGCCCGTGCTTATAAATTGAATAACAAATCTGCGAAAATCTCATAGATGAGAATGGCACTACATTTTGCAGGCAGTGCCACATCGTCCATGACAGACAATCGGTGAGAAAAAATCGCCAGTTTCAGAATGCTCCAGCAGTGACTCACTGAGGTAACAAGCATGATGGCACTGGCAGACCTCCTTTTTTTTTAAGAGCTCTGTTCAGGTTCTATTACTGACAACAGTATCATGGTATAGGTGTCGTTTTGTTTTTCAAGATATGAGACAGCTATAACATGTTTCATTACAGTTTCATTACCTCCTGTGCACTGTAAAGATTTAAAAATGTATACACATTAGCTTGCCCAAGCGTCAGCCCTTTCAAGCTCCATAACAGCTTTTGGCGCAGGCAGCATCTGGAAAAACTGTTTTTGGTGAAATAAAGTGAACTTGAGACTATTTATTTGGGCTCTTGACAATAAGCATAGTAAGGTCGGTGCGACACTCAGCCAAGCAACATACACCTGGAAATCTAGACACCTGGGAGAGGCAGCCAGTCTGCCTTGTATCTTCTCTCAGTCAGACCTGTTCCATCATCGCTTAAGGTGCAGGGTTAGGACTATGCAGGTTTTTGGCGACAATGGCGGCCGAAGATCTCCGATTTTGCATTCCAAGAATTACACTCAAACTTAGATATAACTAACAAGGATACAAAAAATTATTGGTTACAATGAAATAAATCAAGAATAGTCATTTCTGTGTCAGTTGTGATTTTGTCATAAATGAGGATATAGGGTACAGTAGGTCAAAACTTTAGCTATTGTGTGCAGGGGCCACCTTTTGTCTGTCAACGCCATATCATGGAACGAAGTTACAAAAAAATGCTTCGTGGACATGTGCTTTGTGGACATGCACTTGTCCTTAATTCAACTGAAACCTGATTCAGTCGTATGGCAAAGATACACAGAAAAAACTGCCACTCATAAACGATAGCCACAGATTTGGTCAACTGTACTTTTTAGGTACAATTTCAGATATTTAGGTACAACGTCAGTCGTCGACCATTTCGACAGCGGAAGAAGGGACAACAAAACTGGCCAAGAATTATTTGCATGTGTGGTGAAGTGACGTATACAGAAACAGAGCACAACCCCATGAAGACTTACAAGGGGAACATAGGCGTTCACAGGGTTCCCCTTCAAGGAAAGCATAGGTTCATTGAAGGGTCCCGCTTCTCTATTGAGTCAATGTATGGGGCAGACTGTGCAACCCCCCCCCCCCCCCCCCACCACTGCCTACTCCTTGCCAACCTTTATGAAGGGGAATGTGCAGGTGCTGTTCCACCGTCGGGAATGAGGTGCACACAAAGTTCCTACGCAGAACATCACAAGAGTTCCTCTGCATAACTTGTTACAGCAGTGTCATCCTGAATACTTTGTGATGTAGTTTCATGATACTGCTGTCCTCTGTGAGTGGATGTCTCCCACCTCAGGGTATTCGCTTGATTTTCGAGAAATTCGTTTTATACTGTTTATTTGCAGTTTATATGTATATAAACCACAGCCCGTTGTCATAACACCACGTCAAGAATTTTGAACCCCCTAAGAGTTGCCACCAATGCTTGAACAAGCCGAAGTTGGAGCAGGTAGAAAGAGGTCATTGCTCACCTGTCGGCGGCGCAGCATGCCAGCCTTCAGGGCAGCTTTGGTGCAGAACAGCGTGCCAATGACGTTGGTGTCAAACAGGTGTCGCATCTCGGCCTCGCTTGTCTGGGCGAGCAGCCGGTCAAGGCCAACGCCAGCTGCGGTCACGAGGTAGTGCACAGGACCGACCTGATCTTCGGCCCAGGCCAGGGCTTCTCGCACACTCGCTTCATTGCGGACGTCACATTTACGTCCGTGCACAACCCCGGCTTCCTGAAAGAGTGTGTGAAAATGGTGAAGTTTTTTGTAGCAGCTTAGTTTAGCTAAACGAATAGCACATTCGCACAGCAGGGTGGGGAAGAAGAGTTAGTCCCCCCCCTCCCCAAATTTTTCAATTTTGCAAAAGTATATGTACAGGCACACATGCAAACGGATGTAAAAACATACATAAAGTGCGTTTGAAACCCCTCCCATGAAAAAAATATGACTATGTCTCTGCATGAATGATTGAAATGATTGTATCCTTATCCAGTTTTATACATAAAGTGTGTTTAACCCCCACCCCCCCTAAAAATTATGACTATGTCTCTGCATGAATGATTGTGTCCTTATTGAGTTTTGTAGATAAAGTATGGTAACACCCCCTTAAAAAATTATGACTATGTCTCTGTATGAAAGATTTAAATTATTGTGTCCTTATCCAGTTATATACATAAAGTGTGCTAACCCCTCCCCCTAAAAAAACTACGACTAAGTCTCTGCGTGAATGATTGAAATGACTGTGTCCTTATCCAGTTTCATTTTGTTTTCGAGCTCAGTACAATGAATGGGCAAGTGATCACGTCAGTCAGGGAGCTGACAAAGAAACAAAGCCAGTTTGAAAAGAAGGTAACAGAAGAAAAGCCGCAGCAAAACTGCTGGAAATCGTTAAAGCAAGTATGGTTAGGGGTGGTACAAGTTGAGAAAAGAGAGCGTGGTGGCATGGGAAGTTTGACACTGCCCATGCTTATGCAAAAAAAGGCAGATAGCTGGAGAACAATTTCCCTACGTTGTATCCCTTTCATTACCAAAGCTATCCATGATTTAAAAAAAAAATGATATGCATCTTTTATCTACGAGGTAGTACATAACCCAATTCCTTCCAGCTGGTGCCCAATGTGAATTAGTTCCTAGTCATTAAAGGTAATTAATCTTGCAGACTGCATGCATGGCTCAGACAGCAACAGTGTGTAAATAAAGTTGGTCATTTCGAAATAGTAGAAGACTGGGCCAGTTGGTGCAACATAATGTGGAAATACATGAGGGCACAAGGTAGAAGGAAGGAAACACCTGGAAAGACGCTCAAAACAGAGGGTGCAATGCATTTTTCTAATCTTGCACTGGCCTAGCTGACGAGCACGAAAGGCAGCAAGAACACCAATGCACAGGTTAGCTTTTAAGTAACACACAGTTTTCCTATGTTGCTGAAAGGCATGAGAACATCCTTATACAACATTCAGTACAAAGCGGGAATCCCCATCAATCAACACTGGGAAGGAAGCTGTGTCACGAGGCCACAAGTGACATGAACAGCTTACATTATATCATAACCTGTGTCAGCTGATCACGGCACAGTTATCTTTTAGATAATTTAGAAGCTCAACAAGGCAGAGTGGTTTTCCAAAATATGCGAATTTTGGAATGGCTTATTATAGTCCAAGAGAAAGTCAGAGCAGCGTGCAGGTGCCTTACTCAATAGGATTCTCTTTCAAAAACCTCATTACAACTGTTAAATGCGCCAGGTGACATCGGTTCGACACTCTCAGGTGGCTGTCTCGTGCTATATGACGGACTTCCATGATTTACTGAACCAGATCACAAGCATAATTTGTCAATCGACAAATACGCACGAATACTTTCCATGCCTGTTTTTACTTTTTATTTATAAGGAGTGTAACTAGCAATATTACCCATTCAACCGTTTATTCAGGCTCAGTTACAAAGTCATATTGTAGTTCAACCACTATCCTATCATACCTGCCATAGTGCTATGGAAAGCTTGCTTGCAGTTATTTTTTTCAACCTGTTTTTCTCTGTGCAACTCTTCCTTACCCATGGAAGCAATCTAAACCTGTTCTTTTCATCCTTTTCCGATACTTGATGTGTTACAAAGATATCTCGAGGTTGTTTTTGGCTGGCTAATCTTTGTCATCATATCCAACATTCAGGTAATCATAACTACAGCAAGTGTCGGATACTTTTCCACAATTATCAATGTGTTTAGTATGCTTACACTGCACGTCAGTTTCCATGCACTGTTACAACTCAGATTTATGAATGTCCTCAAATTTTATTAGGGTAGTTGATTTCATATGAAAGTTCAGCAAAGTGTGGCAGCAGGGACAGATGTGTCAAGTACTTTATCACAAGAACTTTTCAAAAAAAAGAAAAAAAAAACAAAAGAGTTACGTGCAATCTTCCAGGCCTTTCGTATGCCTCTCAAGCTTTGCACGACAGAATGCTATTCTTGTAATGCGCCATTCTTGTAATGACACAATATTCTCACAAAGCTGCTGCCCCATGTCCCTACCTCAAGACCGCTTTTGCAAAAAGCTTAAGCCTGCATTTTTATGCATAAAAGTTACCAAGAGTTCCTACTGTCTGCGTACAGTGTAGTACATTTTGGCAGGAGACACCAAGAAGCTCTCTAACCAAAGATAATATCTAAAGGTTGAATTCGGAAACATGTGCATTTTTTGAGGTCGAGAGCCTTAGTTATGACATACACGTTTATACATTAGTGCTTAAAGACAGGCTTTACTGAAGAAAGGGAGGGTTCTTTAGTGATTCAGACAAAGATGGAGAGAAAAACAAAGAAGGAAAGAAAAAAATGCAGCTGCCATCTTGTTTCACGCATCATGTTACACAAACAGGAGACGTAATTTTTAAAGGCTTTTGTTCTATGATTTATGACGCAGGTCTCAAAGAAGCAATCCCCAAGCTCTGTTATGGTTATCAGCGTTAGTTGACGTAAAAGAGCTCGCAGGGAAGCAGAGCACCAAGGCTCACGTAATATATTCACAAAACTACTATTTTAACGTAACTGTCATAACAAGGACAAAGGTTGTGAACAGTCCCTACAATCTTGCCAGACGGAGACTTGTAGAATGTTCTGGACTCGGGCGCAAGGCCGCATGTGCAGGGGCCTTAAAGGTTTTCAGATTGTACCCTCATAGACAATTTGAGTGCCAGTCTCAGTAGTGCAAGTCACATGAGGCAGGAAGCCCAGTACACTGAGTAAATGCAAACAAAGTGTGCACACGATTGTGCGGGCAACTTATGTAACATGCGTTCATTCCACACATGGCTGCTTGTACATTTTGCTCTGGCAATTTACAATTTGCGATGACCCAACCACACAGTTTAGCAGTGGGGGAGCCTGAGATTCTTAGTAAGTTTCGGTGGGGGGAGTTCAAGAACTCCCTGACTCTAAGTACTGCTGCAAATGCAGCATATCTGTGACCAATCGCGCGGAGTTAGTAGTTCTGAACTAGCCGACTTTGCGCATTGAAGCAAAAAGGGCATAAAAGGATGCAAGACAGATAAGCTCTCCTTTCACGCATTGTGTTTCGTGTATTCAACGTTGACATATAGAGATGAATGCACAAGTTTGTCGAAAAGAACCACTCAGTGATGCACAATGCATTCAGTACATGCCACCGTAACATAAGCGGCGTACCGATGCTAGTTCTTTGAGGGCCTCCTGCACGTTCTTCTGGTCCCGCGAGAACACGGCCACAGGGCTGCCCGCTCTCAAGAACCGCTGTGCCACGGCCAGGCCGATTCCGCGGGTGCCGCCGAAGACGCATGCAACGTGCGCCATGGCTGCATGAACATCGCGCGCGCGCTATAGAGCACATAAAAGCCGTGGGGGGGGGGGGGGGGCGCAGTGCAGCTTGCGGGCCGCTCTTTTCACGGTATCGTGACTCGAGACGGGCTGGCGCGGTGCGCGCCCGGGCGAAGCGACAGGCGCCCGAGTGCGCAGTACTGCGATTTATGGGCAGCGCAGCTGTGGACGTCGTAAATTACAATGAGCGCTAGTCATTGCATGAGGCTCGCGCGTGTGTTGCACGCAGGCAGCACCAAGCACAACGTTCCGGTGCAGCTCCCCTCGCGCGCCCACCGCTTTTCGTCGCAATTACCGCCCGGCGGCACTGTTTTTCTCAGGTGAGAACGGCGCGGGTCATCAGATAAGGTTTCACAGTGTCACAAGGAGGAAGAGCGTCAAGGCAGCGCGCGCCGGGAGTTGTTACAAACTGTGTCAAATCTGCGTTGCGCAATCGATCGCACTTGCCGAGTCTTGCATGCACTACGCGTGTTGCAACCGCTGCGCCGGCTCGTTGTGAATCCTTTTGAACTCGAACAACGCCTAAGCATACACGCTACTTACGCGATACTGGCACCTCAATACTGCTGATGCGATTTTTTTTTTCCCATTTCTGCACGGCAATCATAATCTATGCGCTGCATAACAGCTGGTACAAGTGCATAAACATGACGGCTACTTAACAAGCAACACAGGGCGTGACAAGTGCTTTGACGTGCAGTTTAGTTAAGGTTCGAGGTCACCCGTAAATGCTAGAAGCAAGGTCGGGGTAACAAATAAGTATTGAGACCTTACGCTTGGCTTTGCTCACGCGTACTCGGCGTAGAGTAAAGCCTGCGCGCATGCAACAGTTGCCATGACGCTGGAAATCGGCAAGCGCCGAAGTCTCGCATTCACTGCGCTTGCCAAGGAAAGCAATCGCTCGATTGAGCCGCTAGCTCTGTCGTCCCGTTAAGTGCGCGGGCACTTCGCTCGAATTTTACCAACCCGCAATGACCTGCCGGTTTCGGTTGCCGAGCACAGCAACCACAGGCTACGGCAGTTACTTATTTTCGTAGTTTTCCGTAGTACGCGCCATGCCTGCGAGGGAACATGCGCGAGCCTATCGCATGCATCAGCGGCCAACAAACCCGACGGGGTGTTGCGAAACACCGCGTTGTTTTTGAGGGTCCTTGCTTGCCTGGTAGTAGCGTGACAAGTCCGTGCGATGACGTGCCACGATTTCCGACCACGTTATGGTTAGCCGGCGTGTAAATAATAATGTTGTACACTGTCACTCGTACTCGTGCAAATGTGTGCCAGTGAGGCACTTCCCACTGTGGCTGTAAATCACGCGGCTGCTAGGCGGCTACGAAACTGGCGTGACACCGAGTGACCGAGTCGTGTGAGAGAAATGCCTCTTGCGAAATAAATGGCGTTGTTCTGAATCGTAGGGCGTCATTTCGCGCAGCTCGATTGGCAAAATGTGTTGGCGTAGCATAGTGACGTCGAACGCGCGTATCCGCGCGACATAACGTAACCGTATGCTTGGTGAACACTCCGAGAGGCTGCTGGAACCGGGAGATGCCATGGAAAGACTCGACAAGGTAGTGTTTACGTTTCGATTGTTTAGGCTTACGCCGCTTGTCGCGCTGCGCTGCTCGCGCTGTTCGTGGCGTTCCCTGGGTCTCAGGGGAGCGCCACTCCCTCGGCCTGGCCACGCGCTGGCCAAAATATGCGCACCAAATCGGCGCCGTCCGAAGCGCGTGGCGCCTGAGTCGAGCGAGGTGCTAGTGCGTAGGCCTTGCGTCTACTACGGCCACCCGGAATCGCCTGAGGGCGCCTCTGACCCACTTGCGCGACGATCAAAACAAAGCGCGCACAGCGCGTGTTTCCCCACAGCAAAACCTGCGTCACAGCTTGTAGCGAAGGCCAGTGTTACGCCAGTCCTCGCATTTGCGCACTGCACTGTGCGTAGTGTTTACAGCGCGGCCGCGATCTTTTTTCCTGCCTCGCGGGCAAGCACCAGCGCCGATGTTGATCAGGCCAGTTTTTCTTCTTCGGGAAGGGTGGAGATAGGCAAGGGTGACTTCCTTTTCTGCATTTTTCTTCTCTTCCCGTTCGGGTGAGCAAAACAGTGCGCAGTGCAGTGACGCTCAGTGAGAGAAGCCATGTGGGGAAGCACGCTACTTTCGCTCACTGTGAAGAGGGTTGCGCTCTCGCCTTGCTGCGTCGTCTCCCTCCCAACCCGAGCGCTTTCCACGCTAATTAATCGCACTCGCTTCCGCAATGCTCGCTAGTTATTTCGTCTAATTATTTCGTCGTTACATGATGCGTTCAGTTTTTAAGCTTGTTTCCAGTCTCTGGCGTGGTCGTGTGCCAATCGAACGAAAGTGAATGTATGAAACGTGTTCATTGAAGCGTACGTTTTCAGCTCCAGTCGGAGGAAGGGAAAAAAACAAAACAAAACCGCGTGAGCAGAATATGACGCGCTTACTTGTTTTTCTCGTTTTGTATGAAGAACGAGCCGTTGTCGTTGCAATTCTGGCCTGTACCGCTTACCATATGCGAATGGAAACAAGCTCTGGCTAGTCAGAAGGAGCGGGAAATAATTTTGGGGCTCGATTCTGGGCGATTCTGTGTTATTGTAAAGTCGGATTGCAGCTGTTGCTTGAAACCTCTCGTGCTCGCGTTCGTGATGTACGTTTATGCGGAAAGTTGCAATGTCGGAGAACATCTGGATGCAAGAGTTTAGGGTTTGATGTCTAGTTTAGGGTTGATTTCATCTGTTGTTACATCAGTGAAGTGTAAGGCATTTCATCGTTTGGGAGGTGTACCTTGGCTGTTTTTATACAGAAAAGCATGGCGGTGGGTTTTGTCGCCGAAAGGCAACTGGTTGTCACGGGCATACCGTGAGTGTACGTTACTGAATACTGTATTTTTAACTTTGCGAAGCAGTTTGCAATGTACCATTATGTATTGTATGAAAAATCGCATGGAAAAATTGGGCTTGTATATTATTTGTTAAAGTATTTGTTGTGAGTATGGGCTTTCTGCAAGGGTTACGTGATCAATACTAGAAATGCTGACCAAACAATAATTTATGCAATTTCATGTTCAACTTGAGAGCCCAGTAGTTTTGGTCCTAACGAAATGGGTTTCCTGTTGAATCTCACGATTTCCAACTGCAGACTATAATTTTCCTGTAGAAAGTTTACCACATTCAGTTAACAAGAACTGCATAATCTGCAAATACTGAATAACGACTACACTTATTGCATAACCTTTTTTTTATTTTCTATTGGAACATGTTTATTAGTAAAGTTTAGGATGTTGTGGTGAACGTTGTTTTTGGTGCAGCACTGCCACCTGTACATAATTTTTCTGATTTGCTTGGCTGGTCGTACTGGTGGCATGGCAAGTGTACCCTCAATTAAAACAATGTAAAAGTATAATTATCAATGTTCTGAGCCTGCCTCTGGGAACAGGGTTTCCCCTGTCACCTCAGCGCTTGTCGTCGTATTACCGAGTGAGATGTGGCTCTGCTGTGCTCCAGGACGCGGATTCGATACCCAGCATCAGCGGTTGCATTTCACTGGTGGCAAAATGCAGAAAGCTCGTTTGTCCTCATGTCTAGGTGCACGTTAAAAAACCCCACATCAAAATTAATATGTATTTATTTACGACACGTCTCGTAATCAATGAATCATTCAAGACTGTTATTTCAGTTTGTACACACAAAGTGGAGATAGCGGGAAAGAAAGCAGCAAATATTTCGTCGCTTGACGAGCTTCACCATTCTTATCAGTCCTTATAATCGTATCCTTGAATAACAGAACGTTGCTGCAGCCAATGCTATGGCAAGATGACTTGTCTTTGTCAGGCCCCTGAGGAAAAGCCGTCTTGTTGAAATTTTTGCTGCAGTGACATTTCCTGTTCGGTGGGTACTCATCATTACAAACTTTTACCTTGTGTTGAACTTCCCGCTTTGTTTTCATTAAAGTCATGTCATAGTCATCAAAAAGAAATCCAGGATTCAAATAAAGTTTATGATATTCTTTGAAGCTGGTGCCTTGTATCTAAATGAGCAGTGAAGGGTTTTAAATGTGGAGTACTTCAGGGGGGCAGGCTGTCGCAGGCTGTGATCGTATGCAGTCGTCACTCGGCGTAGTGCAGGCAAAACCACACATAAGCATAGCCATCTGAACAAGCACCCGTGCCAGGCAGAATTCTCTTACATGTTCTTCGAACGCCTTCAGCATGATGTCAACGCAAGAGAAACCACATGTAGCATAGCCAACTTTGGCATATTGAGGCGTGTGCTTGCGTCAAGGAGGTCATATTTCTTTTGTTCTTCGAGCCAGGCAAAACCATGCATAAAAAGTAAAAAACAGAAAGCAAACAGCGAAATGGAAAGAGAGGGGAATAAATGAAAAGCAAAATATAAGGAAGAAAGCAGAATAGAGGGAAAAGAAATGGAAAAGAGAAAACGAAAGACAAGAGCAAATGAAAAGAAAACCGAAGAGAATCAATAAAGGCTGCCCAGCTCAATACTTCCTTCACGCTTGGCACGACTAGTGCAAAGCTGCCTTAATTTTTTTTAAGCATTTCTCTCATTCACAACTCAATTCCTTCTTGGCGACCGTGTAGATCGACAGCAGCGTACTTTCCCCGCAATGCACGAAAAGTGCCGCCTCCGTAACAGATACAGATGTGACACTGTATAGAGCAGCGGCATTCGATGGTGACGTTTTTGCTTTTGCGGCTTTTGCCGTTTACGTAGTTTCGCGCCTCTATCACCCGATAGTGATTTTTTGTTTTTCTCCGCCTGGTGAATCTTACAACGCGTGCCGCCGAGGGTTGCCGCTTCTCCTTTTTGGCAAGGTGCCACGCTCAAAGCAGGCAATGGAAAAATCGTCTGATGACTGAGCAGCTTATCTCGCCAGCGGTCTTTTCTCCATGTCCGGTTAATCTGGCACAACACGGGGATGGGATAAGGTGGCAAACAAGTGTCCTGCTGCCCCATTAGCTGTTTCCTCATGGTTGCGTAAGTTGTTTGGAGAAATGAAATGCTTTGAGGTAAGCAGGCAGGAATGGCCTGTTTCTGCTTGAGCTGCTGTGTCGCACGTAATTTAAAAGAGCCCGGAGTGCCTCGCATGTTAGCGATGACAAGAACAGTAGATGCGCATGGATTCCCTTCGGTATTGCGAGCGCATGTAAGCAGCATCATTGATGAAAAAGGCTCCTTTGTCAAGTAATCAGTCATTTGAAATCAATTGGATCTGTCGTTGAATGAATGACCTCTCCCCTAACATCACTTAGGTTTAATTTTGAATGTATCTGTGGCCTCTGATAAGCGTGTAAGAGACAATTTCCAGATTTAATTCATTTACTTAGAATATGCATGGTTCGCTGTTTTGACTGCCATCACTCAGGTTGTTGGAATGGGAGACAGCATCTGCAGGATAAAGCTGTTGTTGAAAGAGAGTGCCTCAAATTGTCTAAAGTATAATTACTTGATTTTCTGAAATTCTTCATGAAAGTTGGAATATAGAAATTAGTGACATGTACAGTAGCCACTGTTTGTTCTTTTGGTTCTGAGAATTTTTTCCAAAGTAGAAATTAAATTTCTTTATAGGTAGCACATTAGCAGGCTTTCAGTTTTAATGCTATTTGTTGGCAATATGACACAGGAATTCTTTTTACTGTACAATCAAAAAGATACTGTTTTTTTTCTTGCAATACATTTAACAACTGTTATAACATTTTTTTTATGATATGAGCAAAAAGTAAGCCATGTCGATCAACAATTCAGTTTTCATTAGTTACAGCATATCTATCTCCTTCTTGCTATAATTTTTTGTCGGAGGCTCATAATCAACACGAATATCCTCTGAATCGGGGTTCAGAAATCCTTAAATACCTACATTTCTGAAAATGTGCGCCGGTTTTTTGTGCTTGTTCCCCATGTCAGAACATTAAAGGGGCCAACAACGAATTTTTACGGTACCTATTTTCTATCGTGCAATTGAAATCTTGCCGGTCAGAGTGTCTAATGACTAAATCGTAATGTGGAAAAAGCCGCGAAACATTTGTAATCAGATTTTTTTCTATCCGCATCATTGTATACATGCGTGACAGTGCATGTGTGCACTCCGCGCGC